TCACCAACGGATAAAAATTTTGTTCTTCACCTACAAAACTAATTACTACTCCTTGGCTCCCATTAACTAAGCCTTTTTCGTATCAATTTTTAATTAACATCACTTGGGCTCCGACTTTTAATTCCAGTTTCGCGGCGGCCAAACAACTTCGGGCTAACTCGGCCGACTGACCGAGAAATTTTTCTTCGTCTTTCGCGGCAAAAAAATAAGCATCACCCGGTAATTGAGCTAGTTCTTTTGTGTTCAAATTTCCTACTTCCTGGTTTTTGGAGTATAAATTAAGAGGTTTAATGCCATCATCCGGTCATTCAGGCTCTCGTCCTAATCAGTTGAGCATATTTTCTCAGCAGCTTTTTGGTAACCGCCCAAAACGAATCATTTGTAAATAGCGAACCAACCAGTTACTTTTTTGCCGGTAAACTTGGGTCAAGTTGACCGTATGATTAATACATTTGGTTCAAGCGGAAACTTCAAAGCAGTACCGGGAAACGGTTTTGCCAGCTGGGGGCAATTGGCAAAAATCGCCTACTAAAATTAACTGGATACCACCAAAAGGCTCTGGATTTTTTCTGATAATTCCGGCTAAAGTTTCTAATTTAGTAAATAGTTCCCCCTCTAACATGGAAATCTCATCAATAATTAGTACTTTAACTTTTTGTCAGTTTTCGTAGACTCGCGGTCAAGACCAAATCCGGTTTAATAAAACCTTGGCTGGTAAGTGTCCAATTACGCCAATTCCTAAATAGGAATGAATAGTGTTTCCCCCAATGATAATGGCTCCCGTGCCAGTCGTGGAAGTAATTCCGATTTGCTCTCCGCTGTATTTTTCTTGTAAGAGCCTGATTAAGTGCTTTAGTAAAAAACTCTTGCCGGTGCCAGCTGCTCCGGTCAGAAAAACACTCTTGCCCGCTAGCACTAGTTCCTGGGCTGATTTTTGTTGTTCATTTAGTTCCTTAAATGGGTTATTAATTAGCATGAGTAAAATTTAGTCGCGAGGAGGCAGTTTTTGAAACCTTGACCTTTTGGACCACAAATAGGGATTTAATCCGGTTTTCACTCTGTTCTTTTTGGTATTTCTCCTCAGTTTTGCATTCTTTGAGAAACTCCCGCTTAGTTTGCCGGGCAAATTTTTCTTCTAGGGTTGGGTTCGCTGGCGGCAATTCACCGTTAACCAGAGCATTGTTAATTATCATATATTTTATTATAAAGAGTTTATTTTAGCAAATTTAGAGCAGAAAAGATTAGCTAAAATCTCTAGCGAATTCCCTTTCAGATTCGTATCCAGAAAATCGCTCCTAAACTTTAGCAAGAAAATTGCCCAAAAAGTGCCTTCGCGGGGGGAGAAAATAGCCTACCACATACAATTGAAGACAAAATTAACAGCACTCAGTTGAAAGTTTTATAGTAAAATAACTATGTTATGTTTATACAAATTATTTCGGCCCTTTTTGGTCTAGCTGCGACTATTGAGTTTGGTCAGGGATTGGGTTATTCAGAAGGCGAGCATTGATCTAATGTGATGGCCATGGAACAATTTGCAGAGCAATTTGAGACTCGCTATACTGAAAAAATGAGCGAGTGGGGATTATTGGACAAGGAGAAATTTCTCGCCACCAATGGATTAAAAAATAACTGTCCATCAATAGCGAAATTGGGTCATTGGTTGCGGGGAAAAATTATTTCTTATGAGAGTCAACACTACGAAGTAGCCGATGCTTACGAAGGAACACGAGCTATAGTGAAAATTCTTCGGGATACTTTAAATCATATCGAAGAAGAAAAAAAGTTAAATCGCACTGAGGCAGAAAGGGAAGAAGAGAGCGAGTATGAGTTGGTGGATGAGGAGATAGTAAAACTGGAAGCCGAAAAACAAGAATGAGAATTATTATTGCAAACTTTGCGAGGTAAGTTGGAAAATTTAGCTCAACATCGTCGCTAGGAGAATTTTCCGGAGTTTACGTTAAAGCATCAAAGGCGAAAGCAACAGTTAAATAAGAAAATAAAACCACAAAGAAGCTTTGGATGCTATTTTACCATAAACGTTTAGCAGTTTTGGGGAATAAAGAGGAATAACTCTCGTTCTATATAATAATAAATAAATATAATATATGGGGATGTGCGTTTTTGACTTATTAAGAAGATAATTATGGCAATGCGGGTTTTTTTGAACCCAACAAAAAAATCAAGAAAACATTTCTGAAATTCCCGTTTTTCCTTATATGGAAAGGGGGTTTAACTACGCACGGGCTTAAAATCTCGGCTAGTTCTTAATTGCCGCTCTCTTCGGTGGTTTCGTATATACTAGGAGAATTAATTAGAAAAAGTTGATTATTAACTTGCTAGTTAAGTAAAAAATAATCTACTCGGAAAAGTATTTGTCAGTTAATACGTCACGAAGAAACTAATAATTGACTAAGTTGTAGAAATAATTATTAACTCATTAAGGACATGGGATAACCCCCATCATCTCCACCAATTTTTATTTGTTTATTATAAAACTGGATTTGTAGTAAGCAAATAAAAATTAAATATTATGGAAAAAATTGTAACTGTAAGCACTAAGTTGAATTTATTAGGCATCGAGCCTTTGGCAATTGCCAAATATTTTTATGAAGGGGGCGTTTTTTCACACTTGTTTATCCAAAAACTTATTTATTTTGCTTTTCTGAAAGGGTTGAAAAACCATCTTTTGTTTTTTGAAGAAAAATTCCAAGCCTGAAAAAATGGTCCAGTTGTGCGAAGTGTTTTTGATGGAATGACAAGAGAAGACATGGATCTAGACGACATGTTCCGACAAGTTACTCCTGTACAAAAAAAAGAAGTCCTTTCTATCCTGGAAGAAACTTATCAAGAGTATAAGGATTGAGAGGTTTGGGATTTAGTAGATAAATCTCACGAAGGACCCTGAGAAAAGGCTTAGTTAATGGGAGCCAAGGAGTAGTAATTAGTTTTGTAGGTGAAGAACAAAATTTTTATCCGTTGGTGA